ACATGTCTACGTCACTGTGTGGGAAGATTTGCATAACGCCGCCCAAATGTTCACGCAAAGAAAGAAGGCGTAACATTATTGTTGCTGCCACCGCCGCCGCCTTGTTGTGAAGGCGTTGTGTGTTTCATTGCAAAAGCGAAAATACTTTGTTTGGCCTTCCAAAAGCGGACACGACTAGAAATCAGTGGTTAAGTTGTATTTACAACACTGTTCCAGAACAGTTCAACCCAAACACACCCTTTAATTTCTGAACTGCTGCGATACGTACGTATAACAACCAAAGAAATACAGCGTTGCCAGATTCATATTCAAATTTCACATAATTTTGCAAAAAATGTCGCCACATGCACGTTTTTCTAATGAGCCTGGGTTGATCAAAATCATTACTTACTACTTGTTTAATATACATCTCTGGTCTTTTGTGTTCATCAGTGCATGTTATTCCAAATAGGAAAAATTTTTTATCTTTACCAAAGACAAATTCCTCTTATTTTCCAACCACTTTTTACAATTCATTCAATTCCCAATGGATAAAATCAAGTCCTGCCATACATTTTTACACCTTGAAAATCCTGTTTCACCAAGCAGTGTGTGTCACATTACGGGAGTAAAATGCAATTATATTGTTGTAAATATTCTATTTTTAGTCTAAGGTTAGTCTAAATGTAAAAAGAGACACTGTGAATTATATAACAACCACAGTCTCTTTTTCAGTTGACTACACCGAATAAACAGCAAAACAAAACAAGAATAAATGTGTATCTCTTCCGCGCACACACACACACACACACACACACACGCACACTCACACGCACACACACACTCCTCCTCTAACCCCCTATCCATTCCTCTGCAGTATTTCACTGCATTTAAAATTGCCACCCGCTTCCGTCTTGCCAAGTCTGATTTTTTAGGAATTCAAAGCCTTTCACCCCTCCGAGTCTCTGTTGTGCCAGCGCACAATGTAGTTTGCATATGACTAATTATCTGCCGTGTTTATATGTAATCTCATATCATTTCAGGCCATGTCCCCTGTTTTGTATCTCCTTCTCTCCTCTCCCTCTCGTTCTCTTGGCTCTTGGCTGTATCGCTCTTGTGAAACATAAACCAAATCTACCTTGGCTGAAAAGCATGCAAATATCCCAGGCGTTCACTAAGACAGACAAGGACTCTTGCAATTGTGTGTAAGAGCAGCTAATGTTACACGTAAGAGCCTGTGGGCGGCATTCTCAATGAAACCTCTAAAACAGTGTGGTGGGTCGTGACCAAAACAAGTAGCAGGTCTGCTCTGACAATGCTAAATGCAAATTATGAAAAGCAACTTACCATAAAATTGTGACAGCACAATAAGTTTGCTTTTAAAAGGGAGAAGAATCTCTTTTTTTATGTCAAAGGTACACACTTAAAAATAAAGGTTTCAAAAGAAACTTTTAGTGAAAAGTTTTTAAAAGAACCATTATTTTCTTAGTGTAAAGAACATTTGAATAAACTAAAGAACCCTTTTCCACTATTGAGAACCTTTTGGGTAATGTAAGTTTACATGTATGTTTATAGTTCTTCGTGGAACCATCAATGCTAATAAAGAACCTTTATTTTCAAGAGTGGATTCCATAGAACAACCATTTTTGGGTTCCCCTAACAACCTTTCAGTGAGCAGTTCTTAAAAGAACCTTTTTACACTATGAAGGACCTTTTGCACAAATGAAAGGATTCCATGGATGTTGAAGGTTCTTTTTGGAACCACCGAAACCAAAGACCTTTATTTTTTAGAGTGTATTTTGGTGCAGAATCATCTGTCACTTGGTAATATGGTACATTTTTAATATTTGGCCCAATGTTTGTTCCAATCTGGTAAATCACACTTTGAATCTTATGTATTGTCAAGTTTCCCATGTAGCCTATGTCAAGTTAATTATTTTGCTTATTGTTGATCCATTGCAGTTGATGGTTAAACAGGCCTAAGCTGGTTTTGGTTTGGTCTAGTTTAAAAGATCTGCCTTCTCAGCAGGAAAAAGCATCTCAAGATTGTTTTTAAAGACATTTTAGTGACTTTTATATGATGTGGCATCATGGTGAGTTTCCTCTCAATGTCTAATGTGAATTCTGGACCCTCAAGCAAAACCAATTGAGAACTGCTGCGAATTGTAGAACAGCCCTTTTCATTGCAGTTTTATTGATGCAGAGCTATTAAGTATCAGACCTTTTAGTAGGCGGAGATGAGATGGATAACACATCTCTTCTCGTGTTGACTGTTGTCTTTGGGGTCGAGCATAATTGTTTTGAATCCTCCAGGGCAGTGACTCGTCATTCAGCAAGACGCAGCGCTCCCGTGATGTTCGCTTTCTTCTCACTGCATTATTAGCAATATAAATCTACGAAGAGGTGAAAAGGCATGACATTCTCAGCTCTGTCTACATTCGTGATTCTCATCAACAAGGGAGATTAGAGCAGGAAACAGACTACAAGGCGTATCTAGTAGCTTTTCAGTCTTACAATTAAGTTGAGTTGTTATAGACAAAATGAAATCAAAATGTAGCCAATTTACTTTTTTAATAAATGTCACTGATTTTATTGTGCATGATTCATCAGTGCATGTTATACATACATAAAAAAATCTAAATTTAATTACTTTCTCTGAACTCTGAAATGACTTTCCTGTTGAATAAATCACCTGGGCATGTGGGATGGGAAATACAATAACAAAACAAATACATACTGTATATGCAGTGCAATATCATTTAGTTTATAGTTGGTAAGATTTTTTATATTTTAGAAATAAGTCTCTTATGCTCACCAAGGCTGCATTTATTTGATCAGAAATGCAGTTAAAAATAGTAATATTGTGAGATATTATTAAAATTTAAATATATTTTGAAATGTAATTTAATTACGTGATGGCAAAGCTGAATTTTCAGCAGCCATTACTCCGCTCTTTAGTGTCACATGACATACTGTTTTCTTAAAGGGATAGTTCACCCAAAAATGAAAATTCTGTAATTAAAGGGTTAGTTCACCCAAAAATGAAAATTAGTCCATAAAAAGGCATCCTAGGTGTATATGACTTTCTTCTTTCAGACGAATCCAGTCGGAGTTATATTAAAAATTGTCTTTGATCAAGCTGTTTCATGGCACTCAGCGTGTGTTGCATGCATCAGTCCAAAAGAAGTTAAATAAAAAGCGCCCATCCATAAAAAAAAGTGTCTCACACAGCTCCAAGATCAAAGACAATTTTTAATATAACTCCCGACTGGATTCGTCTGAAAGAAGAAAGTCATATACACCTAGGATGACTTGAGAGTGAGTAATTTATGGGCTAATTTTCATTTTTGGGTGAACTAACCCTTTAATTACTCTCCTTCATATCATTCCAAACCTGTAAGACCATTCATCTTCGGAACACAAATGAAGATATTTTTGATGAAATCCCAGAGCTTTCTACCACGTTCAAGGCCCAGAAAGGTAGTAAGGACATTGTTAAAATAGTTCATGTGACATCAGTGGTTCAACCATAATTTTATGAAGCTACGAGAATACTTTTTATAAGCAAAGAAAACAAAAATAATGACTTCTCTTCCGTGTCAGTCGACACGCGTTCACAAAAGTACCATGACGCATGTTGAACATGGACTATTTTAACGATGTCCTTACTACCTTTCTGGGCCTTGAACATGTCAGTTGCGTTGCTGTCTATGCAGGGTCAGAAAGCTCTTGGATTTCGTCAAAAACATTTTTTTCCATGTTCCAAAGATGAACGAAGGTTTTACGGGTTTGGAACAACATGAGGGTGAGTAATTAATGACAGAATTTTCATTTTTGGGTGAACTTTAATATGCAAGATAATGATTTTTGTTATTCAACAAAACGCCATCCTGATCTTTTTCTCCTTGTGTTCCTCCTTCAGATTTTTCATATGACGTATGACCTGGCGAGTGCAGTGGTAAGAATCTTTAATCTGATTGGCATGATGTTGTTGCTGTGTCACTGGGACGGATGCCTGCAGTTTCTGGTGCCTCTCCTGCAAGACTTCCCTCCTGATTGCTGGGTGTCGCTAAACGGTATGGTTGTAAGTATTCAAAACTTTTCATTACTCTTTCAGAACCATTTTCTGGTTTTATTTTGAACTACACATTGGATCAGGTCAAAATGATCATTTGATCAGTGGACAAGAAAATGATTTAGTGAAAATGTTCTCTAAATGTTTAACTGTTCTTCATTAAGAGACTTAATAATGACAGTAAATATATGCCGCGTTCACATAGTGTCAGAATTACCGTAATTACAAGATGACAACTCAGATCCAGATCGCGGGACTTAGAAATGATTTGTTTCTATGGCAACTTTTACAGATCCAAGAGCGGCTTTGTTGGTTATGACAGCAAAATACTTAATCACTACATGAATTCACCTTCTGTGAAATACAGAAGAACAAAGAGAGCACCTGCTAACACTGGTAATAATAAAATGGCATATCAAACTGAAATATGTGTAGAGGTTGTTACCTAGCTGTTCGTCTGACTGTCTGATGCATAATGCATACAAAACTGGAAAGCACTTGTGAAAATCGTAAGCTTCAATCAGATTGCCTTTGCAGCATAGCTTTTAAGGGGTCAGGGATGTTTTTACAATTCTGCCGGGACCAAAATCGTGACCTCCGTGAAGTTGGCACCCCATAAAAAGAAATAATCATCAAAACTATGAGTGCTCGATTTGTGCCGTGAAAAGAAATCCTGGTTAAATAGGCCTATTTAAAAGGGGGAAAACAGAAGCACTTAATAATCCATTATCTATAGGCTATATGTAACTGTAATTGCATGGTATTACTGCATTTAACAGCTAATATTATTATATTATAATATTATGTTAAAGTTTTTCTGTCCCCCTTACAAACGATTATTTATCGCACTGCATAAGAAAACAAAAAGAACATAATGGACTGTAGAAAAAGGAAGTTAGTGAAAACTTGGAGCTGACTAAACTTACAATTTTAAGGCAACACAAACACTATTTTTTAAAACTCTGCGGCCTCGCTAAACGGGGTGGAGAGTAAAGTTCCCGTTATATTTAAGAAGAGGTCATGGTTACATTGTTTCTTTTAACGGCACAAATCAGCACTGATCGAGCACAAATGAACGGGTTTTGATGATTATTTCTTTTTATGGGGTGCCAACTTCACGGAGGTAAAATACCGTCTTAACCTGTGTTAAAATTCTGAGTGCTTGTGAGGAAAATCTAATCATTAAATTAGTTTGCCAGTTGAAAAAAAATTGAGGGAATTAGTAACAAATAAACTAGATATTTCACAGGCAGAATTACATACGCTATCATTCAAAAGTCTGGGGTCAGTAAGATTTTTGTTTTTCAAAAAAAAAATTTTTTTATTCTGCAAGAATGCATTGAATTACCGTAATTACAATTTAAATCAAAAGTGACAGTAAAGAAGACTTAAAATTGTTTACAAAAAACTCAAATAAACACTCAAAATCACAAATGTTAATTTTGAGTTTTATATTTATCAAAAATCCTGAGGAAAAAAAACATTGATAATTTAAATAAATAAATAAATAAATTCTTGAGCAGGAAATCAGCAAATTAGAATGAATAATTTACGTTACAAAATTACATTTTAAAATATATTAAAATAGAAATATTTTCTTTTTAATTTTGTAATAATATTTGACAATATTACTGTTTTTTTCTGTATTTTGATCAAATAAATGCAGCATTGATGAACATAAGAGACTTTTTTTCAAAAACATTAAATCATATGGACCCAAGATGTTTAAATGGTAGTATAATGTGATTTATGTTTTGATTTGTATATGTGAAATAATACAGTAAGTGCCTAGTTCATCTAGACAATCAAAAGTTCTAAACACAAAGCTTACACACAAACTCTCTTCCTGTCTAAGTGGGCAGTTTTTGGCCAGAATAAGCTGCAATGTGCAATGCAATGTGTCAATAGCTATTACAGTTACAGTAAATCCACTGCAGTTTTTGGTGGTTTTACATGATGTCACAACATAGAAGTGGGGAAATTGAGAGAATTTCTTAGCAGTCAGAGTTTCAAACTTTAATGTGTTTGACAAAGTCATGAACAAACATCTGAACCTACTTACACAACGTGATTGCAGCAATAATCTCACCACTTCGTCGACATAATGTTTTACGAAATCAAAAAGGAAAAAAGTTGAAGATTTGGACTTGCACGTCCCATTACTTTTAAAATCCAAGAGGCACTGGGCAGAACATTTGACACTTGACCTTTATCAAATGAGAGCTGTTCAGCTAATCAGGACAGATGGCTCGCTGCAGTTTTTCACCGCACATCATGTTGGTGCTAAATGGATGTTAAAATGCCAAGATCATTTTTTTACTTCTCCCAGCTTTTTCGAATGAGTTCAACTCACATTCCAGGTCAAATTGCTGTGCTGGTAAAAGCATTAGGCTTTTTTAGTTCAAGGCCAAATGTGTCACGCTGTTTTAGGAAGTCAGATTTCTCTCATTTTCCGCTAACAAAAATTATGCATTCACTTTGAAAGCGTGCGCAGAGATCAGCAGACGGCCTGTAATGGGCATGTGCAAATCTCTTTGCATATTCGTCTGAGCCTTTTAGCTTGGCATCACATTGGATAACAGTCTTGGGTGGTGGTGGTGGGGTGATAAGGCTGTTCGCAGTTACGCAACCATATCCCCTCAAGTGCTATGGGGTTCAATCTACCTTTGAGGTGCTCTATGTGATGCTGCAGACCCCTCAGCTCTAGAGGGCCTTACCGGGAATCAATGATAGTCGTGCTTTGAAATGTTGCGAAACCCATGGCTATGTTGAACGTGACATTTCTGACAAATTAAAGTCGCTCTGTGATGAGCGTTGAGAAGCCTTAGCTGTGTCTGTTTTATCTCAAAAACATTTTACATCACGCACACTATTTGCCTCTTCATATCAGATGAAATAGATGGAAAGTATGCATACAATAACATCCAAGAAAACAAAGCTAAGCTAAGTCGACCCCTCGGCTCTGGAGGGCCTTACCGGGAATCGTTGATAGTCGTGTTTTGAAATGTTGCGAAACCTCTGGCTATGTTGAACGTGACATTTCTGACAAATTAAAGACGCTTGAGAAGCCTTAGCTCTGTCTGTTTTACCTCAGAAACATTGTATGTCATTTTACCTCCATCTCAGATGAAACCGATGGAAATTATGCATACAGCAACATCCAAGAAAACAAAGCTAAGCGAAGTCCTTTGTTATAGCTTTAATGCTTACAGGAAGTGACATTACTGTGCTCCAAATATGTTTTTTTTTTTTTTTTCGATTCTAAACATGAAAATGCACTTCGAGTCTTTCTAAAGCTAAAGAAGAGGTCAAACGCTTGTGGCGTTTCACTGCAGTTTGATGCGATAGGAGATTGATATTGCCCCTTGTGGCTCTGATTTAAAATTCTAGCCTCAGGTTTCTTATTTTTTCCTTTTTAACCAGAGAATGAAAACTTATTGCAGTACATAAACACTTGAGATCTGTTACAAAACCTAGTGAGTTGCCTATCTAGACAGCATTTACAAAAAAAAAAACATATGATGGCTGTTCCAAAATCATAATGTTCCAAATTAGTTAAAACAGTTTTAATGCTGCCTTCACATCCTTCTGGGAAGTTCTGCTCACAAGCCTAGAAGTCATAATTACAATGTGCTTGCAAGTGAAAAAGTTGATGTGCGCATTTCTTTTTCACTTCAGCAAAAACGCTAGATGTTTTATGACTAATGCAACAAAATGAAAAGCAAATGACGCACACTGAGTGTGTTAATGCTTATCTTCATGTTTTATCCTGTGGAGCCACAGCTGATGTTGGGAAATGTAATATAATGTAATGTAAATGGGTGTCCGTAAGATTTTTGAATGTTTTTCGAAAGAAGCATCATATCCTTAACAAGGCTGCATTTATTTAATCAAAAATATGGTTTAAAAAATAAAATATAAATATATATAAAATATGAATAAAAAAGAAGTAATATTGTGAAATAATATTACAAATTTAAAATAGCTATTTTCTTATAGAATATATTTCAAAATATATTTTATTCCTGTAATGCAAAGCTTAATTTTCAGCATCATTACTCCAGTCTTCAGTGTCACATCATCCTTCAAAAATCATTCTAATATGCTGATTTACTACCCAAGAAGCTTTTCTTATTATTATTATCAATTTTCAATATTTTTTTTTCAGGATTCTTTGATGAATAGCAAGTTTCATTTATTTGAAATCTACATTTTTGCAACAATGTAACAATGTTTTTATGGTCTCTTTTGATCAATTCAATGCATCCTTGATTAATAAAAGTATTTAACAATCAATCAATCAATCAATCTTTCTGATCCCAAACTTGGTTTTGTATAATCACAATTCTGTAATCAATATTTACAATGAAAACATTCCAATTTCTATGCCACTAGTGTCAACAAATGTAAAATAAGGACAGTGAAACTTGTTTTCAAACTTTGAGCTTGTGTAAATATGATCATTCCGTCATAACTTGTCTCTTGAAATGTCAGTCGCCTACAAACATGCACATCAACCACGACTACTGAATGCAGATCGCTTAATATTGTAAAAGTCAATTGTGCCAGGGTTCATTCTCTTAAAATGAGCTTTTGTTATTGAGTCATCAATTCTGCAGGTGTTTTGATGCGACATTTCCTCAGCGAGGGGTTTCTAAACTGATAGAGATGCACCACCTCCTCCTTTCTGTAAATTATATCAAGACTGCATCATGATTTTCCATCTGTCTCATTCCCCTGGGCTTGGTTCAGATAAATGCCACAACCAGAAAATCATAACAGAAACAAACAGAAAATCAAAAGCCGGGGAAAGTGTTTTGTTTTACTTTTCTGTACACATCCATTTTTATGTACCTTCTTAGTCTAGGTGCATTTTCCTCCCTCTCTCCTTCCCTCAGCATCTTTGTGTGACTTTGAATCAATGACCTCCCTGTTTACCTCTGCACCACTTTCTCCTCCCAAAAAAATCAATGCAGATGAAAAATGAGCAAAGATTCCCGGTGCTGTCT